ATCTTCTGTGTCTGTGTTAATTGGTTTCCCTTTTCTTTGTTGAAGAGCATCTGTGCAGTCCTTGTGCCTAGTCCGCCATCTTGCCGGAACTCTAGAATACATTATTATCACTTATGTTTAAACAGTAAGTTACCTTTTAGAGGTATTAAATAATAAGAGCAGTATCTTACATATTTACCCATGTAGTTATCATCCCACACTCTTAACTTTTTTGTGTAGATTCTTATTTCCATCTGGTATCATGTTCTTTCACCCTAAAGGACTTTCTTTAATATTTCCTGTATTGCAAGTCTGCTGGTGATGAATATAACGTCTGAAAAATGATTTACTTTACTTTGATCTGTTGTTAAAAAATACTTTTGCTGTATATAGAATTCTAGATATACAGTCCTTTTCTCCCTGTTTTTAAATATGTTCCATTATTTTCTTGCTTGCATTTTTTCTGATAGAAAATTCTGTTTCCATCTTTTTCTTTGTTTCTATGTTTACGACATGTTACTTTTCCTCTAATGGCTTTTTTAAAAAAAAAAAAATTTCTATTTTTTTATTTTAATTTTTGCAATATTCCTCCCCTCCCCTTTCACTCCTGGTAACCAACAAAAAAAGTTTCCTTCCATATATAAACTTTTCCTTGACTTTTTACAATAATGAACTAATACGATATTTGTCCTTCTGTGATTGACTTATATCATTCAGCATACTGTCCTTCAAATTCATCCATGTTATATGGTGTTTTGCAGATTCTACATTATTCTTTACTGTTGCGTTGTATTCCATTGTGTGTATGTACCATAGTTTGGTTATCTATTCTTCTGTTGATGGTCACCTAGGTGGTTTCCATCTTTTAGGTATTGTAAATAGTGCTGCAGTGAACATGGGTGTGCATATGTCTGTTCTTGTCCTGGTTCTCATGTCTTTAGGATATATACCTAGCAATGGGATTGCTGGATCAAATGGTATTTCTAAATCCAACTTTTTAAGGGATTGCCATACTGCTTTCCACAGTGGTTGTGTCATTCATTTTACAGTCCCACCAGTAGTACATGAGAGTCCTCCCAATCTCTCCACATCCTCACCAGCATTTGTTATTTTCTGTCTCATTGAACTTTGCTGTTAGTGCTGGGGCCAGATTGTATCTCATTGTTGTTTTGATTTGCATCTCTCTAATGGCTACTGCTAACCAGAAGGTTCATGGTCCAAACCCACCAGGCACTCCTTGGAAGGAAGAGTGGGCAATCTACTTCTATAGAGATACCACCTTGGAAACCCAAGGGGTTGCTATGAGTTGGAACCGACTCAACAGCAGTGAGTGAGTGTGAATAATGGCTAATGATCATGAACATTTCCTCATATATTTGTTGGCCACCTGAGTATCCTCTTTGTCAGCAAAGAGGTGTCTATTCGTGTCTTCCGCCAATTATTTTTATTGGATTATTTGTCTTTTTGTTGTTGGAGTGTTGGGGTTTTCTATAAATTTTAGAGCTAAGTCCCCTGTCAGATATGTTGTTGGCAAATATTTTTCCCAATCTGTAGGTTCTCTTTTTATTCTTTTGGAGAAGTCTTTGGAAGCACATAAAATTTTAATTTTTAGAAGGTCTCATTCATTTAGTTTATCTTCTGCTGTTTTATGCATTTGGGTTATGCTTGACAGTCTATTTATACCATAAATTTAAGGCTCCTAAATTTGCCCCTATTTTTTCCTTGAGGAACTTTATAGTTTTAGGTTTCACATTTAAGTCTTTGATCCATCTGGAGTTAATTTTTGTGTGTGGTGTGAAGTACGGATCTTGTTTCATTCTCTACAAATGGATATCCACTTTTGCCAGCACCATTTGTTAAAGAGACCATCTCTTCCCCTTTTGGTGAATTTCAGCTCTTTGTCAAATATCAGCTGACCCTGAGTTGATGTATCCATTTCTGGGTTCTCAGTTCTCTTCCACTGATCTTCATGTCTGTCATTATACCAATCCCGGGCTGTTTTGACTGCTTGGCTGTATAATAGATTTTGAGATCTGGGAGTGTGAAACCTACTTTGTTCTACTTCTTCAGTAGTGCTTTGCTTATCCAAGGTCACTTTCCTTTCCATTTAAAATTAGTGATTGTTTTTTCCATATCCTTGAAGCTCTGGTGGCATAGTGCATAAGGCATTTGACGCTGACCAGATGGCTGGTGGTTCAAACCCACCAGCCACTCCTCGGAAGGAAGGTTGGGCAGTCTACTTCTATAGTGATAACACCTCAGAAGCCCAGCAAGGGGTCATCACCTTGAGTCAGATCTGACTCGCCAGCAGTGAGTTTGGTTTTTTGGTTTGATTGAAGAATGTTGATGTGATCTAGATTGGGATTGCATTGAAAGTATAGATTACTTTGGGTGGTATTGACATTTTCACAGTGTGCAATCATCTTGTCCAGCATGGTATGTTCTTCCATTTATGTAGATCTTTTATGGTTTCTTGAGGTAGTGTTTTGTAGTTTTCTTTGAGTAGGTCTTTTGTGTCCCTAGTGAGACTTACTCTAAGAACTCTGGTGGCATAGTGCCTAAGGTATTCGATTGCTACCAGAAGGCTGGTGGTTCAAACTCACCAGCCACTCCTCGGAAGGAAGATTGGGCTATCTACTTCCATAGTGA